TAGATAGATAGATAGATAGATAAGATAGATAGATAGATAGATAGATGGATATATATATTTGATTTAAGCATCCAGACAGTACTGCTTCAATTCCTTTTGTTCTGTCCTCTAATCCTTCTCACAGTTGAGCGATGTGGACAAAGGAGGAGCAACAGTTTTCCCCTTCGCAGATCGAGCTGTTTCCCCCGTGAAGGTAAGTCTTTATTTCAAGAAGTGGCGTATCCTTCTAGACATGGAACACGCATTTTCAAAGATGGACCCCCCCCCCCTCCAAAAATAATCACCACAGTCTATAGCACGCCAAGATATGGGAGTATTCTCAATAGGCGGAGCAATACAATAAGGGTTTTCATTGAGGAGGATAACTGGCTTTGCCCTTCTTTGATCTAGGAAGAAGAAAACATTTTCGCATTAAAGTAAAAGTAAACGTTAGTCGTTTCCAAATTCTGTACCAACGTAGGTGATGTAGAGGTTGGGCACTTCCCAAAACAGGTCAGTTCGATTCCCGTGTGGGGAGGTTTTTTTCTTATCGAGTGACTCCGTCTTTTTGCAGGATGATTGTATCCTTCTCAGCCCGGTTTGGCCCTTACAGGCATGGTTTTTTATTTTTGGTTAGTGTTTTACGGCGCCTGCAACTGCATAAGGTCATATGAGTGCGCGATACACATTGAACATTTTCAGTTGATAGGAAAATTTGAATTTTTGCCCGGGTGGCGGCCGAAGCTTACCTTATCGATTTTGGACAACCATGGGATCTTTAACGTGCGCAACTTGCACACGGGACTTCCGAGATTTTTCGCCCTTGTCCGAGAAGGCTAATTCTAGATCTTTCCTACGCTAAGATTAGGGGATGTGGCTGAAAGACAGCAGTAGGAATGGGCCAAGGGGTAGCAGAAGAAAAGCTGCAGAACGAGTCAGGAGCCCAGAGGAGGGGGCAAACGAGGTGAAGGGGTAGGGGCCGAAAGTGGAGACGAAAGCAGACGACAGAACATTGCCAGAGAGCAGGAAATGAGGTGAAAGGAGACAATGTTAGAGGAGAAAATTTCTGCCACTACCCGGATTCGAACCCGGGACCTATTGAATGAGAGGCGAACACCTTGACCTCTAGACCACGAGAGCCCCCAACAGACATGTTTGAGACATTCTCTCTCCTAAACGATTTAAATTGTCTCAATCTTCAAGTGCTATTAAATAGGATTTATATGTGTGAGGTTTAATAGCTCTGCCCACCCTTTATTTATAAAAACACATTACACCCTGCTTTACTCTATCACAGAGACAATACGTTAGCTATTATGGGTGGGTAGTTGGTGGGTGCTCTCGTGTGATCTGCTCCTTCTTTCCTATCACACATCTATCTTCCTTATCTCTCCTCCTTTATTGTTTTTGTTACTCTCTTGTAACGCCTCTAATCTTCGGTACTTATATGACCAAATTGTGTTGCAAGTGCCGTAAAACACTTACTAAAACAAAATTATTTCATCTTTCCAGAACATGGCTCTCTTCTGGTACAGCTTGGAACCATCTGGAAAATTGGACAAAGCTACAGACCACTCGGGCTGTCCAGTGATGGTGGGACACAAATGGGGTAAAGTATTTTTGTTTCTCGCTTTCTTTCCCTTCTAATCCTCCTCCCCCGCCCCCTCTCTCTCTCTCTCTCTCTCTCTCTCTCTCTCTCTCTCTCTCTCTCTCTTTCTCTCCATCACTCGTGACAGCACAGTCCAGATATGAGCAGACCACAGTTCATGCCTCCATCTAACAAGGGAAATAACTTAAACCTATGCTGTTACGCTCTAAGCGTGTAACTGATTTCTTGGGGAAAAAATCAACACGCGATAGGAAGACATCGTTTTAGACCCCAACTGTTTTAAATGAGAGAAGACAGGAAAGTCAGGTCACAATACTTTTATGGTTGAATCATGATGATGATGATGATGATGATGATGATGATGATGATGATGATGATGATGAT